TTTTGTTATCCATGGGGATGGGGGGTGCAGTGAATGTGAGTGATATAATGTGTGTTGATGTATTTGCACACTGTTCTTGCCCTTTTTTTTCCTTTCAAGCAAGACAGGTCCAAGCATAAGAATAGATGGTCAATAACAAAGCCAAAACCCTACAAAAAATAAATTCAAACCCCAAAGTACCACTCAGAAAAAAACATAATAGGATTACTTGCAGTAAAAAAAAATAATCAAATAATAAGAAAATAAATTAAAACACAAAAAGGCTTCCAATAGTAAGAACAAAAAAAGATGACAGCAATGGGTTAATTGACTAAAGAGCTAGAAATCAGACAAGAAAAAGAGGAAACATACACTCCTCAAAAAACCTGAGGCTTTCAAGGTGCTGCTGAGCCATAACAAAAAAATTTCAAAAATATTATCTTTATTACAACGTTAATGGTTAAAACCAAAGGAGAAAGTGTATACAGTATGTATAACAGTAAATGGCTCAACATTGCGATTAACAATGGCACCAGATCATAATGAAGTCAAAGGATTGCATTGGAAAGGGTTACCCACATATACACTGCTCCAAAAAATTAAAGGAACACTTTGAAAACCCATCAGATCTCAATGGGAAGAAATCTCCTATATTCTATACTGATATGGACTGGGTAGTGTGTTAGGAATGTAAGGATGCCCCATCGTTTGATGGAAATGAAAATTATCAACCTACAGAGGACTGAATTCAAAGACACCCCGAAAATCAAAGGGAAAATATGATGCAGCAGGCAAGTCCATTTTGCTGAAGTTTCATTGCAGCAAGTCAGAATGGTCCTCAGTAGTTTGTATGGCCCCCACGTGCTTGTATGCATGCCTGACAATGTCGGGGAATGCTCCTAATCAGATGACAGCTGGTATCTTTGGGTATTTGCTCCCAAGTTTGGACCAGGGCATCACTGAGCTCCTGGACAGTCTGAGGTGCAACCTGGTGGCGTCGTATGGACCAAAACATGATATCCCAGAGGTGTCCTATTGGATTTAGGTCAGGTAAGCATGGGGGCCATTCAATGTTATCAATTCCTTCATCCTTCAGGAACTGCCTGCATGCTTTCACCACATGAGGCCAGGCATTGTCGTGCACCAGGAGGAAACCAGGACCTACTGCACCAATGGAGGGTTTGACAATGAGTCCAAGGATTTCACCTGATACCTAATGGCAGTCAGGGTGCCATTGCAACTGGGAACAACAGCAACTCAGCCACCAAGTGGTAGGCCATGTAAAATGACAGAGCGGGGTCAGTGCATGCTGAAGCTCACAGTGCGAGCCAGGCCTTCTCCTCCGACATCAATGCCTGACCTCACAAATGCGCTTCTGGAAGAATGGTCAAAGTTCCCATAGACACCCTCCTAAACCTTGTGGACGGCCTTCCCAGAAAGTTGAAGCTGTTATAGCTGCAAAGGCGGGGCCAACTCAATATTGAACCCTACGGACTAAGACTGGGATGCCATTAAAGTTCATGTGCATGGAAAGGCAGGCGGCCCAATACTTTTGGCAATATAATGTATATATAAATACATTTTGTCTTATTCAATTTTAATTATAGTCTGTTGTATAATATGTTAAAGCACAAAAATGTATGTATTGTGAGCTATTGACTGTTTTTTTCTCAGTTCCTTTATAGTGAGATAGATTGTATACCCTGAGGAAGCCCGAATGGGCGAAACATGTCAGGATCCATCACACCATTTATGTTAAATCAAGGGGACTATGATATGTGAGATTGTACTTTATCAAAAGAAAACTCCAAATTGATTTGTTTTTCACTTACAACTGTCTTTTTTAAAAACTCTTTTTGTAATAAAGAATTGTGGATGATCTTATCTTTGAACATTTTTTTGTTATGGCTCTGCACCTTGAAAGTCCCAGGTTTTTTTTGAGGAGTGTATGCTTCTTCTTTTTCTTGTCTATTTGATCTCTAACTCTTCAGTCAATTAACCTCATTGCTGTCATCTTTTTTTGTTCTTATTAAGGAAGCTTTTTTGTCTTTTAATTTATTTTCTTATCATTTGATGTCAGCGGTCTCTACAAACTTCCGTCCCATCTATAGCAAACCTATTTTTTTACTTACTGCAAGAATTCCCATTATATTTTTTTCTGGGTGGTATTTTGGGATTTGAATTTCTTTTGGGGTTTTTTTTTTTTCGTTATGACGAAGCACTTTGAAAGTTCCAGATTTTTTGAAGATTGTATGTGTCCTCTTTTTTTTTTCTGTATGCTTCCTCCTTCTTTTTCTGAAGAAGGGGACATACCCCAAAAGCTTGTCCTGAAAATTGTATGTTAGTGCAAATATAAAAAGGATCATGGACAGTACACAACTGTTTCTGTCTCAAGTGCACTAATACGGCTACAATCACCTCAAGCAAGATGGTAAAAGAGTAAATTGTAAAATTTTATACATAACAAAAACAACAGATGTTATTACCCTGACGGTCTCTTTCATATGTCTGCCCATTGAAGGAAGATTTAAGGAAGCACATAGGATTATACACTTAACTCTTTGCTGCTGTTTACCCTTCCCTGTGGCCTTGGGATCCCCCTCCATTTGCTGTTGCCTTTCTTCATTTTACTTGTAGAAGGACAGGCAGCCTATGACCATAAGTTTTTTCCCTGCAGCTATGCCTCTAGTGCCCTGTCTATAATGAGATTAAAAAAATACAGTGGATAGTGAGTGACTTGGACGAGAAAAATTATGCTGTCAAAGCAAAGGAATTGCAGATGTTCCTGGCCTCTGCTGTGTTCAGTCGAACCACTGTGTCAATACCAGAAAATACAGAAAAAAATACAAAAAAATATAAAAATTTTAATTAAAAATATAACATAAGTAAAAAACAAAAGAAAGTGGAATGTTGAATGGGAATCTATCACTCTGAATCAACCTAAGCCAGGAAATTTCCACTGGAATATATTGGGGAGGATTGCAGCTCAAAGACCTTGGACAAAGTGGGGCTCAGACCAATGGACTTAGGGATGCTTGTAGTGTATTTTGTTTTTTTTCACCTCCACATGGCAGTTGATACCTGCAGTCACCTAAAGCTGCAGTGAACAGCTACAGAAGAATATTTGTGGCTATTGTCTCTCAAAAAACACACTCTAGTTTAGTTTCACTCTAGTTTAGTTACACTCTAGTTTCTATTTTAAGATAAAACCTAATTTGTCTCTTCTTCTATTGTGGCCTAACCAACTCACTTACATGCTGTCCAGCCACTGTGCAATATTTGTGGCTATTGTCTCTCAAATAATGCACTAAAATGTCTATATCAAGACAATAGTTGCTTTGTCTCTCCATTTTTAATTGCAGCCTTACCAAGTTGTTTATATTCTGCCCAGTAACTATGCAATATTTGTGACTATTGTCTCTCAAATAATTCACCCTGAATTTCAATTTCAGGATAAAACATGCCTTATTTCTGCCTTTGAAATTGTGACCTAACCATGCTGTTTACAAACTGCCCAGGCACTGTACAATAGTTGTGACTATTGTCTCTCAAATAATACATTCCTCATTTATTTTTCAAGATAAAACATGCCTTATTTCTCCCTCTGAAATTGTAACCTATCCATTCTGTTTACAAACTGCCCAGGCACTGCACAATAGTTGTGGCTATGGTCTTTCAAATAATATACTTTCAGGATAACGTCTGCTTTGTGTCATTTTATTTGTTGCCTATTCAAGTGCTCATGTGCTATCCTGTTTTAACAAGTCTAGTAACTACTCTATATTTTGATATTTTGGGAATTATTGGAGATACAGGGATAGGGAGGGGGCTCATGGAATGTTGGTGTGTGGTTCTCTGAAATGCTTTTATGCATTCTGTTTTCACATTTGAATAAGCTTTTGATAAAATGCAATGTTGTATTGCAAAAAAAAAAAAACCTACCACAATCTATAATAGTAACCTGTTTTCTCACTGGTCAGTTTGCATGAAGTTGGGGGCTTTAACTTTATTTATTTTTTTTGTTTAGCTTTTAGATCTGTGGTGATTCCTACTTGCACTTTTCAATTCAGGGGTATTACAGTTGGATTAAATTAAATGAGCCAACACACTTTTAATTAAAGTTTTAATTTTTGCATGAAGGTAAAAAACCTTCTGTGTGTAGCAGCCGCTATTACACTTAGTTTAGCCTCCTCTTATCCAGCGATGTTAACGAGAGCCTCTGCTCTATTGGGACTCTCACTCCTGTTTTGCTGAGGCATTGGCTCCCTCTGCTGTCAATCACAGCCAGTGAGCCAATCAGGAGAGGGAGGGGAAGGGGCTAATCAATGAATGGACATGCAGAGCTGTAGCTCAGGAGAGCACCTGCTCTGGTGCCCCCATTGAAATCTGCTTGCTATAGGGGCATCCAACAGGAGGGAAGAGCCAGGAGTGCTAGCGGGGTACCCAAGAAAAGGAAGATCTGGGTTGCTCTGTGCAAAAACAGTGCACAGAGCAGGTGAGTATGATTAAAAAACAACAACAACAACAGGACTTTATTATCACTTTAAGTTAAAATGTAAAAAAATTAAATACACATCTATATGTAATTTCAGAATACAATGTCGCTGAAGGTGTGGTGTGGAAATTGTATTGTTCTGTAACACAACATACAGAACAAAGGCCTCCTCCAAGCATGTAATTTTAAAGATTGCTGTTTTACAATACTATTCTCAAAATCCAATTAAAATGACCCCCTACCCATTGTACAGTATTTTTAACAATTTTTTAAAACTTGGCTAAATGTCCACCATGGTAGTAAAAACCAAAACTCCCCATGCCCTTGCCTATTAGCCTTGAAAATGGGCAGAACTTAGTATCAGCATTCACCCCACCCCATAGATTTCAGTGGCATTTGATGCTCAGTTCACGGTTTGCTGAATTCAAGCAGGATTTGATGAACCCCCTTATTATATACACCTGGGAAGATTTGCTTATCTCTCATTGCCCTTACTGGAGGACACACTCTTTGAACCTATTGTACCCAGGGGGGACTGACCATTTGGAAACTCAGGCACTGCCCAAGGGCCTGGGGTCAGTAGGAGGCCCCATGAGATGCCCCTGGTACCTTTTTCATAGGCTTTTTTGAGTTTGGGCAAAGACACAGGGGCCCCATGATCCCCTATTGCCCGGGGGGGCCCCATGAGTTGTCAGTCCACCCCTGATTGTACCTTTAGGAAGTGAAGGTTGAAGATCACCCCAAATAACAGCACAAGGAGTTAACACACTTAGGGTGGGCACACACACCAGACACAGACTCCCACACTGTCAGCACACACACTATCAGAGCAGATACAGACCAAACATACACACAAGTACCCACTTTATCCCTTTTGCTGTCAGGTCCGTACGTCAAGCGGATCTGACAGTGAGAGGGTTTACACACAATCCACTACTGAATCCACCAGGATTGTGTCTATTACTGACAGGCAGACTCCTACCTGGCAGGTGGAAGCAGTTGGGCACCCCTGCCATGTAATCCAGGCTCCACTTGCCCATCTATGGGACTGGGGCTGACAAGGCAGGTGCTGGCAGGTGAAGAGGAGGGAGGAGAGTGGACACACCTCTGCTTGCCTCCTCTTCTGTGAGTGACCTGGAAAGTGATGCGTGTGATGTCCCTTCTGGGTCACTCCTGTCACTTTCATGGCTAGCACAGCCAAGGAGCAATGTATTGCAATGTGATCTGCATTGCAATGCATTGAGTGGAGCCCAGAGGAGGCAGTGGGAGTCTTTAAGATCCTGCATGTCTCATTAAAGAGAACCTGTCACCAAAAATCATCACATAGGGGACTTTTTGTCCCCTATGTGATGGCAACATTTTTTTTTTTTTTGCAAAAAAATAAAGTTACACCCAAGCACATTAAATCCCCCCCACAAAAAAAATATCTAAGGCCCCCACCTGCACATATAGGCACGTATGAATGTAAACGTATGAGTCAGGGATGCCTATGAGTGAAAACGTTGATTGCAATACACATTACATATCACCACGCAGGCTGAAATGAGAGCAATAATTTTATCACCGCAGTGGCTAAATGGTTGGCACTTCCGCCTGGCAGTACTAGAGTCATTGGTTCACATCCCAACCACCTCCTGGAGTTTTCATGTTCTCCCTGTGCCTGCATGAGTTTCCTCTGGGTACTCTGGTTTACTCCGACACTCCAAAGACATGCTGGTAGATTAATTGGATCCTGTCTAAATTGACCCTAGTATGTGTATGTATGAATGTGAGTAAAGCCGGCCATTCATGGGTCAAATTCCAAAAGAATTTTCTTTCAAAAATCTTTTCTAAGAATTTTCATTCAAATTTCACACCATTAGTGAACTACAGCAACAGCTGATTTTCGAGTGACCATCGAATTTGAGTGATCAGGCATGTTGGAAATTTTTAAAAACAAATGAATTTCTGATCAATGATGGGAGAATCGTATGAGAAATGTAATCGAAAAATATGAGCTGTGACCTGGAAAGAAAAGAAAATTCTTGACCATGAAAATTCTTTTCTGTAGCAACATGAGGTGAAATTAAAGGCTTGGTTGGTTGAATTTTGAAATCAATGGAGGCGCCATTGAATTACAAAATGCACAAAATTTCGGATTTTCTAAAGAAAATTTGTTCAGAATTCGACCCATGTATGGCCCGCATTAGGGAAGTTAGATTGTACGCCCCTTGAGAGTTAGGGACTGATATGAATGTACAATATATATGTAAAGCGCTGCATAAATTGATGGAGCTATGTAAGTACCTGAAATAAATAAATAGCACCAGACCTCCTCCGTAACACTTAACTGAAGACTAGAGATGAGCGAATTATTCAAAAATTCGATTCGGCTGATTCGCCGAATTTGCGGGAGAAATTCGATTCGATGCGAATTTATTCGCCGCAAATTTAACTTATTAAAAGGGTTTCTAGGCTTCAGAGAGCCTTTATATTAGTGCAGAACACTGTACCTTTAATTTAAATGCCCTTGGAGTCTGCTGGGGAAGAGAAATAATACTGTCAGTCAGTATGACATGCAGATGAGTGCCGTCGATCTTAGAATCACCGCACACTTCACTCATTTGGGCAGTCACGGGGCACGACGAAGAAGAAGAAGAATGAAAAGAAGAATGAAAAGAAGAAGAAGAAGAATGAAAAGAAGAAGAAGAAGAATGAAAAGAAGAATGAGAAGAAGAATGAAAAGAAGAATGAGAAGAATGAAAAGAAGAATGAAAAGAAGAAGAAGAAGAAAAGAAGAAGAAGAAGAAGAATGAAAAGAAAGAATGAAAAGAAGAAGAAGAATGAAAAGAAGAAGAAAAGAAGAAAAGAAGAATGAAAAGAAGAAGAAGAAGAATGAAAAGAAGAGGAAAGAATGAAAAAAGAATGAAAAGAAGAAGAAGAATGAAAAGAAGAGAAGAATGAAAAGAAGAAGAAGAAAAAGAAGAAGAAGAAGAATGAAAAGAAGAATGAGAAGAAGAATGAAAAGAAGAATGAAAAGAAGAAGAAGAAGAATGAAAAGAAGAATGAAAGAATGAAAAGAAGAAGAAGAAGAATGAAAAGAAAAAGAAGAAGAATGAAAAGAAGAATGAAAAGAAGAATGAAAAGAAGAATGAAAATGAAGAATGAGAAGAATGAAAAGAAGAATGAGAAGAATGAAAAGAAGAAGAAGAAGAATGAAAAGAAGAAGAAGAAGAATGAAAAGAAGAATGAAAAGAAGAAGAAGAATGAAAAGAAGAAGAAGAAGAAGAATGAAAAGAAGTAGAATGAAAAGAAGAAGAAGAATGAAAAGAAGAAGAAGAAGAATGAAAAGAAGAATGAAAAGAAGAAGAAGAAGAATGAAAAGAAGAAGAAGAAGAACGAAAAGAAGAATGAAAAGAAGAAGAAGAAGAAGAAAAGAAGAAGAAGAAGAAGAATGAAAAGAAGAATGAGAAGAAGAATGAAAAGAAGAATTAAAAGAAGAATGAGAAGAATGAAAAGAAGAATGAAAAGAAGAATGAAAAGAAAAGAAGAATGAAAAGAAGAAGAAGAAGAAAAAGAAGAAAGAAGAAGAAGAAGAAGAAAAAGAAGAAGAAGAAGAATGAAAAGAAGAATGAGAAGAAGAATGAAAAGAAGAATTAAAAGAAGAATGAGAAGAATGAAAAGAAGAATGAAAAGAAGAATGAAAAGAAGAAGAAGAATGAAAAGAAGAAGAAGAAGAATGAAAAGAAGAATGAAAAGAAGAAGAAGAAGAAGAATGAAAAGAAGAAGAAGAATGAAAAGAAGAAGAATTCCAGTACAGCAAAAAGTGTATCTGCAGAGAGCTCCGCTATTTCTGACAGTTCTCTGACAGTTCCTTCACATTTACAGCGGTTGAAACATTGTATCTATTTATTTCCAAATAAAAACATCTGTATCCTAAATGGAAACAAATAGATACAATGTTTCCACCGCTGTAAATGAACTGTCAGAACTGTCAGAGAACTGTCAGAAATAGCGGAGCTCTCTGCAGTGACACTTTTGCCGGCTGATCGGGGGAAAAATTTGATTCGTGCATCCGAAGTTTGCTAAAATTCGGATTCGATGCGAATCTAATTTTTCCTAATATTCGAAACGAATTCCACTTCGCCAAGTTCGATTCGCTCATCTCTACTGAAGACCTATAGAGGGCTTTTGAAGTGCCCCCTATAGAAAATATAGGGTACTGAAGCTTATCGCCTTTTCAAAGGCACACACAAATTTAAGAGTTGACATGTTGGGTATCTATTTACTCAGTGGAACCTCATCTTTGAAACGTTACCAAAATATTGATTGCCCTAAAATTCACTTTAGTGTGTTTTGTACTGAAATATTGCATTTTATATACCTTTGGGTCATATCATGTGACATACAAAATTGGAGCTACCGGTATTTTATTCTCTAGGGTATCTGCTTTCAGAAAATATGTAATGTTTGGGAGTTTTGTGTAATCTTCAGGGTTAAGAATAAAAGCATTCAGAGCACACACAGAAAATGGAATGCACACACAGTCAGAGCAGGCAAACATCAACACAAATGGTAAAAGTCATCAGGCCTGCTGCCTGCAAAACTTCTTATATGCACAAAAAAAGATACTTTAGCAATCAAACAAGATAAATGAGTATTCTATAATAATGCAGCCTTTCTCAGCATTCTCAGTACAGAGGAACCCTTGAAATAACTTTCCGGTCTCAGGGAACCCCTGCTAAAAATGACTATACCTACAACTCATGATATATTAATGTGATGGTCAGTGGGAAGAATGTCCCTTACATTGGTGATCAGTGGGAAGAATGTCCCTTACATTGTTGATCAGCGGCAAGAATGTCCCTTACATTGTTGATCAGCGGCAAGAATGTCCCTTACATTGGTGGTGAGTCTGAAGAATGTTCCTTACATTAATGATCAGTGGGAAGAATGTCCCTTACATTGGTGATCAGTGGGAAGAATGTCCCTTACATTGGTGATCAGTGGGAAGAATGTCCCTTACATTGGTGATCAGTGGGAAGAATGTTCCTTACATTGGTGATCAGTGGGAAGAATGTCCCTTACATTGGTGATCAGTGGGAAGAATGTCCCTTACATTGGTGATCAGTGGGAAGAATGCTCCTTACATTGGTGATCAGTGGGAAGAATGTCCCTTACATTGGTGATCAGTGGGAAGAATGCCCCTTACATTGGTGGTCTGTGGGAAGAATGTCCCTTACATTGGTGATCAGTGGGAAGAATGTCCCTTACATTGGTGATCAGTGGGAAGAATGCGCCTTACATTGGTGATCAGTGGGAAGAATGTCCCTTACATTGGTGATCAGTGGGAAGAATGTCCCTTACATTGGTGATCAGTGGGAAGAATGCGCCTTACATTGGTGATCAGTGGGAAGAATGTCCCTTACATTGGTGATCAGTGGGAAGAATGTCCCTTACATTGGTGATCAGTGGGAAGAATGCGCCTTACATTGGTGATCAGTGGGAAGAATGTCCCTTACATTGGTGATCAGTGGGAAGAATGCGCCTTACATTGGTGATCAGTGGGAAGAATGTCCCTTACATTGGTGGTCAGTGGGAAGAATGCTCCTTACATTGGTGATCAGTGGGAAGAATGTCCCTTACATTGGTGATCAGTGGGAAGAATGCCCCTTACATTGGTGGTCAGTGGGAAGAATGTCCCTTACATTGGTGATCAGTGGGAAGAATGTCCCTTACATTGGTGATCAGTGGGAAGAATGCCCCTTACATTGGTGATCAGTGGGAAGAATGCGCCTTACATTGGTGATCAGTGGGAAGAATGTCCCTTACATTGGTGATCAGTGGGAAGAATGTCCCTTACATTGGTGATCAGTGGGAAGAATGCGCCTTACATTGGTGATCAGTGGGAAGAATGTCCCTTACATTGGTGGTCAGTGGGAAGAATGCCCCTTACATTGGTGATCAGTGGGAAGAATGTCCCTTACATTGGTGATCAGTGGGAAGAATGTCCCTTACATTGGTGATCAGTGGGAAGAATGCGCCTTACATTGGTGATCAGTGGGAAGAATGTCCCTTACATTGGTGATCAGTGGGAAGAATGCCCCTTACATTGGTGATCAGTGGGAAGAATGCCCCTTACATTGGTGGTTAATGGGAAGAATGTTCCTTACATTGGTGGTCAGTGGGAAGAATACCCCTTACATTGGTGATCAGTGGGAAGAATGTCCCTTACATTGGTGATCAGTGGGAAGAATGTCCCTTACATTGGTGGTCAGTGGGAAGAATGTTCCTTACATTAGTGGTCAGTGGGAAGAATGCCCCTTACATTAGTGATCAGTGGGAAGAATGCCCCTTACATTGGTGGTCAGTGGGAAGAATGCTCCTTACATTGGTGATCAGTGGGAAGAATGTCCCTTACATTGGTGATCAGTGGAAAGAATGCCCCTTACATTGGTGGTCAGTGGGAAGAATGTCCCTTACATTGGTGATCAGTGGGAAGAATGCCCCTTACATTGGTGTCAGTGGGAAGAATGCCCCTTACATTGGTGATCAGTGGGAAGAATGTCCCTTACATTGGTGATCAGTGGGAAGAATGCCCCTTACATTGGTGGTTAATGGGAAGAATGTTCCTTACATTGGTGGTCAGTGGGAAGAATACCCCTTACATTGGTGATCAGTGGGAAGAATGTCCCTTACATTGGTGATCAGTGGGAAGAATGTCCCTTACATTGGTGGTCAGTGGGAAGAATGTCCCTTACATTGGTGGTCAGTGGGAAGAATGCCCCTTACATTGGTGGTTAATGGGAAGAATGTTCCTTACATTGGTGGTCAGTGGGAAGAATACCCCTTACATTAGTGATCAGTGGGAAGAATGTCCCTTACATTGGTGATCAGTGGGAAGAATGTCCCTTACATTGGTGGTCAGTGGGAAGAATGTCCCTTACAATGGTGGTCAGTGGGAAGAATGCCCCTTACATTAGTGGTCAGTGGGAAGAAAGTCCCTTACATTAGTGGTCAGTGGGAAGAATGCTCCTCACACTTGTAGTCATTGGGAAGAATTCCACTTAAATATAGCTAAAAAGATCAATGATGTCAGTGGGAACCTATCTGAGAGGCTGAAATTGCTCATTGCTCATTGCTTAATGAGCTCCTAGCAACCTCTGGAGGAACCCTAGGGTTCCATGGATCCCTGGTTGAGAAACTTTGCTATAATGTATAAACCACAATGTCAACAGAAATAGAGGAAGCACACAAAGCAAAGTTTTGTTTGCAATATTTTATCCTATTCAAAAGTTTGGTTCCTGTGTTTATATCCAACAGCAACACATCAGATTTCCAGGACAAAAGCAAATACAGCATGACTTGCAGCACAGTACATAGCATAGTTTCAAACAATGTATATCCAAGTCTTAGTTCCAGCCTCATATTATTTGTAATATAAAATAATAGTCAGGGATGGACTGACCAGTCAGTTACCCGGGCACTGCCCGAGGGCCCGGGGTCAGTAGGGGGCCACATTAGATGCCCCTGGTACCTTTCATATGCTTTTTTGGGTGTGGTTTGAGTATGGGCAAGGACAAGGGGCCCCATGATTTCCTATTGCCTGGGGGCCCCATGAGTTGTCAGTCCGTCCCTGATAGTAGTACATAAGGATAACCAGATTGTTCCCAGGCCTTCCCCCTGGGGATTAGTACATAAATGGTTGGGATGTTAAGTCTTCTTTGTCCAGCAGAGGTGGGCACCTCTAACTAGTGTGTGTACTAAACATGTAGATTACTACAACATATGTGTATTTATTACAGGTACTTATAAAGCATTGTCAATTTACATGTATATATATATATATTGCACATTAACATCTGTCCCTTACTCTCAAAGAGAATACAATCTAAGGTCTATAACTCACATTCATACAGTTGTGACCAAAATTATTCAACCCCCAATGCTGTAAAGGGGTTTAGGGACTATAGTGTACATTTGGAATTGTATTCAGAATCAAATCCTACAAGGACGTTGTAACTACCCAAATGCAACTAAAATGACATCAATTGTTTATGTAATACAGTAGTAAATGGTTCTTATGTGGTTTCTTCATTGCCACAATTACATAACCCCTTAAAGACTACCACTCTGAAGAACAGAAGGTTCATACAGGTGCTTTCCATTTGAAAACACCTGTGGATGTCACCGAGCAGCAATCAAGCATAATAAGCACCAATTAGGCAGCTTTAAAATGACTGTGATACATCAGCTCAACATTTACTGGTGTGGTTACAAACATGGTGAAGGCAAGAGAATGGTCCAGGAAGACAAGAGAAGAGGTGATTTCTCTTCACAGGAAGGGCAATGGCTATAAGAAGATTGCAAAGATGTTAAACATACCAAGAGACACCTTAGGAAGCATCATTCGCAAATTCAAGGCAAAGGGAACTGTTGAAACGCTACCTGGTCGTGGCAGAAAGAAGATGCTGACTTCGACTGCTGTGCGCTACCTGAAGCGTAGAGTGGAGAGAAGTCCCCGTGTGACTGCTGAGGAACTGAGAAAAGATTTCAGATGTGGGTACAGAAGTTTCAGCCCAGACAATAAGACGCACGCACTGCGTAATGAAGGCCTCCGTGCCAGAACTCCCAGGCGTACCCCCTTGCTGTTCTCCAAAGAATAAGAAGAGTCGACTGCAGTATGCCAAAAGCCATGTGGACAAACCACAAAAGTTGTGGGATAGTGTTCTGTGGACTGATGAAACAAAATTAGAACTGTTTGGGCCCATGGATCAACGCTATGTTTGGACAGAACAAGGCTTATGATGCAAAAAGAACACCTTGCCTACTGTGAAGCATGGTGGAGGGTCAATCATGCTTTGGGGCTGTTTTGCTTCTGCAGGTACAGGGAAGCTTCAGCGTGTGCAAGGTACCATGAATTCTCTTCAGTACCAGGAGATATTGGATGGAAACGTGATGCAGTCCGTCACACACCTGAGCTTGGGAGACGTTGGACCTTTCAACAGGACAATGATCCCAAGCATACCTCCAAGTCCACTAGAGCATGGTTGCAGAGGAAAGGCTGGAACATTTTGGAGTGGCCATCGCAGTCACCAGACTTAAATCCGATTGAGACCCTGGGTGGGACTTAAAGAAAGCAGTTGCAGTGCGCAAGCCTAAGAATGTGACTGAACTGGAGGCCTTTGCCCATGAAGAATGGGCGAAGATACCCGTAGATCGCTGCAAGACACTTGTGTCAAGCTATGCTTCACGTTTAAAAAGCTGTTATAACTGTAAAAGGATGCTGTACTAAGTACTAAGATTGAATGTCACTTGGGGGTTTGAATAAAACTGATAATGCTGTGAGCACAGAAAAGACATTTGTGGTTATTTCATTATAACTGTTATGTTATATTTGTCTGACCTACAAGTGCCTCTTTAATGTAAATGTAAGCAAGATGACTGAATGATCAAAAGCAATGTCAAACTGGCCAAAACACTCAATTTCAGTGGGGGTTGAATAATTTTGGTCACAACTGTACATACTAGAGCCAATTAACCCATCAGAATGTCTTTTAGGTATGGGAGGAAACCCATGGAGAACATGCCAACTCTGGAAGTTGGTGCCATGGTTGGGATTCAAAACCAATGATCCTGGTACTGCCAGGTGGAAGCGCTAACCATTCAGCCACTGTGCTGCCCTGTGTTACACAGATCAATTATTTAGAAATAAAATCACAAAACCTTTCCTCCAGAATCTTGTCTTATTCTCTATCATATTGTGAAGCCTCTTGCAGGTCAGAATACAGGATACATGAAGAATTCTGTCTGCATGATTGTGTGACTTCTCTGGAGCTGCACCCCCTACACTTCCCATAATATAATAAATGATTACAATCCCAATGTTGCTTACCTTAGACATACCATAAAACTGTTAACATAATCTCCTTTGCCCCAGTCCTGACATAAAATGGTTCACAGTGAAAACCCCTCCAATGATGATGTCTCCGTCCTGCACATAATTATAATCATCGATGGCTTTAACAAGATCCAGATGGCAGGCTGGGGAAGGTCTCTGGATCTTCGATCTACAAGGTGCCATGCACAGGAGGAACATACAGAGTAGCATTGTAGAGGGATGACGGGAGAATGGAGCTGGAGACAGGGCACCCATAGATAATAACATCAAGCACCCCAATATCATACAAGAGATAAGTAAGGGTCTGTAGAGCTCAGGGTCAGCCAACATGACACAGCACAGGGAAAGTGATGGGTGTTGGTGACAGCTATGGGAAACAGACAGTCAGATCCTCCTTATATACTCTACAGAGTGATTGCAGACAATGAATTCTACATTTACATCTCGGTTGTCATGCTTTGAACAGATTTATCCTATTCCTATATTAATGTCATTTTAATAATGTCATGTCTGAAATTGATTCTGCAAAACAAAGATAAAAATTGCAATGCAGTTTTTAGTTGAATTAATTTTTTAAAGTTAAAAGTTGAAAAGGCACAGCTTTACCATTATGTGTACTTGTGTGGGTGTGTGTGTTATGTAATGGTCTCATCCAAATGATCAGACAAACAGACACGTGCGACTCGGTGCTTACCCAGTAAATTGACAGTGCAGATATAATGGTATAACAGTAGGTAATAAGTACTGAACAGGGTATACCAGTCTATGGAACCAATTACAATAACTGGGATGCTAGGAGCAGTTCTCACACTTGATCACTAAGAGTAGTAAACTATAACAGATTCTTAGAGAACGGGAACTCACCTTCAAAAACAAATGGTGCAGTATAGTCACTTGAGGACCGCCCTACAACACTTTACTGCTACAGAGTGGCCTTTCTGTGCAAAATCACGTATGTATATATGATTTTGCACTTCTGCCACACGGGGGCACAGGCGCACCGCTGGCGTATCGCTTCTGCTGAGAACTGTCACAGCAGAAGCCAACCTGCAAGTTAACCCTTTGAGGACCGTAAGGTTTTGGAACGCCAAAAGAATCTTTTTTTTTTTTTTTTAAAGTTTGTACACTTCAGTTGCTGTAACTAAGCCATTTCATGAAATAATTGGCAAAAAGCTAGATCCATTTGTTGTTTGTTGGTAAGAACTAATATTTTGACTCAAACCAAAAAAAAAAAAAAAAATTAAGTTCTTAATCAGAAGATACACGCAATTGCAAACATGGGACAAATACATCCCTTGGTCCTCAAAGGGTTAAGGCGAACAGGTCTTCACCGACAGCCGCAGATCATCGGGCAGGAAGGAAGAACAGAGCTGTGGCTATGTTTACATAGGCACAGTTCTGTTGTGGCAGGGGAAAGTGATCGATCATGTGTCAGAGCAGAGCTGGGAACACAATCCATCATTTCCTTGTACCAGTGCCTCCTAGTGTACACTAAGCACATAGCTAGGCACACACTTAATCCTTTGATTACCCTAGATGTTAACCCCTTCCCAACCAGTGTCATTAGTACAGTGATCAGTGCATATTTTTAGCACTGACTACTGTATTAGTGTCACTAGTTCCCACAAAGTTAGTGTAAAAATGTCTGCCACAATATCGCAGTCACACTATAAGTTGCTGATCACCGCCATTACTAGTATAAAAACATTTTTTTTAAATTCCAGTATATGTTCCCATAGTTTGTGGATGCTATAACTGTTGCGCAAACTAATCAATATATGTTTATTGGGATTTTATGTTTACCAAAAACATGTAGCAGAATACATTTAGGTCTAAATTTATTGAGAAATTTGACGTTTTTTATTGGGTATGCTTTATAGTAGAAAATATATATATATATATATATTTTTTTATTTATTATTTTTTTTTTATTCAAAATTGTTTATTTTTTTGTTTATATAAAAAAAAGTAAAAACCACAGTGATCAAATAGCACCAAAAGAAGGCTCTATTTTGGGGGGGAAAAGGACATAAATTTCATTTGGGTGCAGTGTTGCATGACCACGCAATTGGCAGTTTAAGTAACTCAGCAAAAAATGTCCTGGTCACGACAGAGGGTAAATCTTCCAGAGGTCAAGTGGATAGTCAACATGAATGAAGTTTCTTGAGAAACGGGGTGAATGAAATTTACAAAATCAAATTTGGGGACATCCTACTGACCATGCCCACGTTTAATGGGACAGATCAGGTACAAGGCTAATAATGGGTGTGGCCAAATTGTGCTAACATTAGGAGGGACTTAAAGGGGTATTGGTTAAATAAAACCTGACCCTACTCTGTTCTGGGTCAGAAGTGCGTAACACAGAGTGCAGGAGTTTGGAGTGTGTAACGCACAGATTGCCTAGGTTAGGAGTGTGTAAAGCAGAGTTCAGGGGTGACGAGTAAGTAATGTATAGGGTGCAGGGGTAAGGAGTAATTAACACACAGAGGGCAGGGGGTCAGGTGTAAAGAACACAGTGCAAAGGTCAGGAAAATGTAGCATGCAGAGGGCAGGGGTCAGAAGTAAGCAATGTACAGAGGGCAGGATCCAGGAGTAACATGCAGAGTGGAGAGATAAGTAACTCACAGAGTGCAATCTGCCAAGGGAGGCATTTTTGGAATCTTAAAGCCCCTCTGAAATAAAGACACCATAGATATGACCCCAACATGAATGAGTAAGGGGATGAAGGGGTGTGATGAATGTGAGTATAATCTGAGGTGGTTTAGATGAACACTGTACATGCACTCTTGTGCTTTCTTTCAAATGATGCAGCAGTG